ACCCTAAAGGTCACTATAGGCACTTACAAGGTCGGTCAGGACTGGTTGCACATCGACACTGTTGGCTAGTCCAGTCTTTAGAGAAGTGAACGCAGCCCGCATATTTACATCTGTACACCTGATATGATTAAACAGTATACATCTGTTTCACTTATAGTTGTAAGAAGTGTGACGAGAAAGAGTAAATGCAGTTAAATTATTTCAAAATTTGTACCATGTAATTTCACATATTACACTTACAAATAAAGAGCAGAATTTCCAAGTACATTTGCAAGAAAGGTTATAACAGCTCCTGATCCAGACCCAACTTCTAAACATAAACTTGGCCTGCAAAATATCGTGCAAATTCTCATCAGCATACATACCATACTTGGTGCATGTACGTCTGCATGTCCGTGGGTATGGGTGGGTGCGTGTGTACGTGCATGCGTGTAATAGCACACATGCATACACAACCATGAAAATGGATACAGAACATAGATATTGTCAAGGTAATAGCCTCACTCATTTCTAGAATTATTTTACTATTACTTAAGCCCCCGTCACACTAGAGGCTACCGCTCATCACGATGGCCCACGCTCAAAAAATTTGGGCCGAGCGTGGTGAGAGCGATGGCCAAATTGTGATCCAGCGCTCGATACTGTACGATCGAAGTGACGATCTTACCCCAATCTCATTGCGCGCCAGGACAAGCTTTCAACACGCCAGCATAACTGCTGCAGACGTGCGCCCACTGCGTTCTTTAATTGGCGATCGACAGTCGCTCCATAAGATTCATACTGCGTTCCGTAACGCGTTTCCACGCACGGCTCTTAGAGGGAGCGTAGTACGAGCGTAGTGAGATCGGGGCCTGGTGTGACGGGGGTATTAAACTTCAACCTTAATTTCTTGATGAGTTCAATGTCAGCCTCTAGAGCATCCATTAACAAGAATGTATCCTCTGCAGGCTCATAGACATCATTGTAATCTTCACTAGTCAAGTGCGACAGCTTTGGCGTCGGAATCATTGTCACGACTCACGATGATGTTTGGATTGGCTTGTCACCATTCCAAGGCAATATGGAGTCGGTGATGTTACAGTCAGCTCCTACATGACGAAGAAGACGAGAATTGATTATAGCATTACCATTAAAGGCGGTGTTTACCTGTTAGCACCAAAACCTGATATACTGAACTACCTGCTGTTTAAATTATAATGTACTGTAAAATTTAGTAGTTTAATTTGAGCAAGAAATGATGAACAATTCTAATACTAGTAATAGCACTGGCTGCTATAACAGGAGACGATCTGATTGCATGAAATAATGTCAAACTATAGGTCTAGACTCAAGGTTTTATGTGAAATTTCATTAATTTTTCGTTTTCATTCTTATTCGATGGCCAACAGTGAAAATAGGTGCCACATCTGTATTAGCTCTAGTACTATATCCCTTGGCCTTGTTTGCCACAGGCCTGTGCAGGCCTGTGGCGAAGAAGGGCTATATAGTACATTGCTTATTTCTCCATATATATATCAGAAGTAGATAATAGGGAAGGAGTGTGACTTCAATAAACATGGGGAATTCATCATTTACTAGCCTTAGAATACCTATGATTTACTACGCGTAACTCAACCAACTTGAGCTCAAATCGTACACGGTACATTCGCCTAGCATCGTGCAAAATCGTTTCCACGTATACACCCGCAATCCGGAGATACAGACTAAAACGTACGACACGATTCTCCATTCTGTTGCCAACAAACCGATTCCATAACCTGCCTAACTTGAAACAATAGGCAGCTACTAACAACTCTTGCGCCCTCGGCGATGCGGTGTGGCTCGCTGGGAAATTGGAGCTGGAGCTGCTGCTGATTGTGGTGGGCGTGCATGCAGGGGGAGAATACCCGCTGTAAATAGGTCAAAGATTAGCTCGCCGAGTGTTGCGTCGATGTCCAATCTCCCAGCGCCATCCTGCAGGAAATGTTCTCTCCGTGAAAATGTAAAAAGGACGTATCATCCGAAAATCCCTAACGGCGCTACTCGATCTTTCGACCAATCACTGTAGTCATGTGTGTGACCATGTGATATCATGCCCACGCGCATTATGCTTGGCTTGGCAAGCCTCGAAACGGAGCTTGGAGGCAGGCAGCAGCTCATCCCGGCATGAAATGCGCCCCATTACTCGTTTGTAAACAGACATCGCGTCCTCTTTACATTTTCACGGAGAGAACATTTCCTGCAGGATGGCGCTGGGAAATTGGACATCGACGCAACACTCGGCGAGCTAATCTTTGACCTAGACGTGAAATAGAGAAAAACATTCAGACTTTGGTAGTAAATACATTTCGTGTTTATTTACCTTTTTTTATATATTGAGACGTTCCAAGTGCCTGTGCCTGTGGGTACTAGACCTAATGGTAATGACGATGTACAGTACTCAGTGACATGCAGTAGGCCTAGTGTTATATTTAGCTCCTTGGTGTCAGTGAGCCGTGGCCCTTTACAGTTTACTTAGAACTAGAAGTTAGAGTTTAGTCTATGAACTGCGAGGAAACTGGGCGCTGACTAAGTGACTGAAATCATTCCATAGATAGATTCTATAGACTTATATTCTGCATCTTAATTCTGTATTCTATATCTATGATCATACCAGACAATGCCTACTGCATGATAATAATATCCTGATAATATCAGGAGTGTATATTAATGTAAGTTATAACAACACAACTCACACGTCACAGCGATGATCGCAGCATTCCCTCGTACCTCACTTTCACGTGGCAATGGTCTGGCTCTATGTCTCTTTATACGTTTATATAATAATGAAGTTAACGATATGGTACCAGTCTAGCATGCGAGTGGCCAGATGTTTTCCCACAATGCATCGTTTAGTGACTCTTCGTGATCGTGAAAGTAGAGGATAATTTATTTAGACACACATATATTTTTGGAATTTTGAGCTTTCTTGTAATACCGAGTGGAAATTAATTTAATGTTACCGTAAAGAGTTGTTCCGCGGGCATGTGGTTGTCCTGGCTCTGCCACTGCAGTGACAGTGTAAGCAATGACAATTAACTAACTACCTAGTTATGCTAACTAATTTTTTACGAAGTGATTAGGCCTAGGCTAGGGCTTATTTCCCCGACAAGCCGGTTATTTTGCCGGAGAAGCTAGTTTGATTTCTTGGCTTAGGGTTAGGGTGAGGATTTAACTATGATTTACGGCAAAGCTGAAAACGTACACTTGTTTCTCCGACGCCGGAGATCTAACAAGAAAATTTGTTCTCATTCTTAATTCTCCGGCGGCCGAAGAACTAACGATGGTTTTCAAATTTCACCGCTGCTTCTCCGGCTGCCGGAGAAATAATACCAGCCAATTTTTTAAACTAACTTAGTACCGGTGTCACGGTCTTAGACAAACTCCACGACAGGTGGCGCTCTCGCTCTCGCTCAATTCATAGTATCCTGAGTCTCAGTCCTGAGTGTACGAAGGGGCACTGCATGCAAGATAGCTCTAGTAGTAGTAACTATAGCTCGCTTATGGCTGGCCGCGGTACGCCAAGGAGCTAAATATTACAAGGAGAGAAAGCGCCGCGATATCTGGCCCAAATCTTTGCCATATTTGGCCATATTGGCCTAGAACAGATTAGTGTTCTATTGTCTCTGGGTTCGGGTCTGCACAGCCGTTTCAGCTGATTATGGTCCATAGATGGTGCCCTTGAGGCGAAAAGCACACAGCCAATTCGCTTCCTCTCCTTGTTATATTTAGCGCCCTGCTGTACGCGGGCTATAGTTACTATAGAGCTACATGCAAGACTGCATGCAGTTTGGGTCTGAAATTACCCCAGCGCGTTACGCATGCGCAGTAGCGCTGGATAAATGAGACTGCCGCTACGTCGTTTACCATCGAATCACAAGTTTCACAACTAAATCATAAATGCGTGGTAACCACAAATAATCCCAAGTCTTTCGCGGATATTGTCACACACTGTTACAGTACTTACATCGTGGTTGCAGTGTTGCAGAGAGCAATAATAAACTGCTTCTGTTCGTATTTTTGACAAATGGCTAAACTTTGCTAAAACAAATGGCGCGCTGACTGTGACCGCAGCAGTCTCATTTACCCAGTGCTACTGCACTTTACACCCAGCGCTACTGCGCATGCTTCAGGCATGCGCACGACGTGCTGGGGTAATTTCAGACTGGTGCAATCTCAGACCGTGACACCGGTAACTTAATTAGCAATAAACTAGCAACGTAGAACGTTAGGTACTACTATACTCTACAGTGGTCCCTACTTTACGTAGTTTATTGGGCCGCATCGTAGATATTTACATAAGCCGTTGAAACGGCCTTTACGCACGTTGTTACGTGTTCACCGCATGTTCACACATTGCATAGTATACCGATTTGACCTGATAATCGGGAAACACTGCTAGTAAAGCATGAACCTATCCATATCATAATATTCCATGGCATACCATATGTTCCCATTGCCATTGGTTCATGGAAATAAGCGCTGACTACAATTCATTTTCGCAAATTATGTGCGACGTGTAAATGTGCAAATGTGGGCAGCTCGTATATCCTTGGCCCATGTTCCCATTTTGGTGTTACTGAGTGTTAGACTGCTTGATATACCCAAATTGGGTGGTTAATTTAGTTAAGTTCATTATGAGGGTTTTGTTGTTTGCCAACAGTCACAGGTGCAGCCTGCACTTGTACAGAAAAATAGCTATGAACCAATGCATGTTTTGGCATTAACGTTGGGTCCTAAAAACATCGCCTATAATCCTATATGTAGAATTTTTAAACACCAGATATATTCCTCTGACGGTAGCAATTCCTTAAAGGGATACATTTCTCTAGGTTCTTCAGATATTTTCAGCTAAGATAGGTTAAAATTACGCTTCATAAAAAGTTTTATGGTTCAATATTTATTAGAAATATTTAAAAAAAATGTTTTACAACTGCTGGCTATACCGTTGATTACAACGACGGTGCCGCCACTGGCAGCGCACCCACTGAAAAAGTTGCGCAAAGCAACGTTTTGGCTGCAGGCTACAGACCGAGGGTGGGGAAAGCATGCAGTCTTATTTATTGATTAAGGATGGATTAATTGATTTGTTTTCATTATTCATCACATGCTTAATGGCACCTATGGGTGTGTAGTGCACGGGTAACAAGAAAAGGTTTATGTAGTGATTTTTTGTGAATGTGGAATGCAGTCGTTAATGACTAATCCCTTTATTTTCATTAAATCCTGATTAATATTCTATTTTATTGAGAAATTGTGGGCTCCATCTTATAGACTTTAGTTTAAATAGGTAAGGTGCTGGGCCGTTCAGCTTTCAATCAGAATAGAGAAACGTCTTCACCAATGACATGCGTCTTACCTCCCCTAGTTATGCCAGTCAAACAAACTGTGTAGCTCCAACATACTGTCGTATATATGTATGACACTGTTGTATGCTCTGGCACTATATATATATAGTCTCCATTCCTCCATATGCAGAGTTACAGTGCAGAGATAGTATATATCACAATGTTTGTTACATTTATAGACATTCAGAGGGTCGCATTGCATCTACCTGTGCTGTCCATCCTCATTCCTACTCTAGGTGTCCTTAGGCCCATTGTCAGAAACAAAATTTGTTTTAACATTAGTATTGACATGAACTTTTTCTCATAGACAATTAATAGAAACATGGCAAATTTACGAGTTTCTCATACAGTTTTTAGAGGTCATGTCTACAAGAAAAGGTTAATGTTAAGAGTAATGTTGAGGCTAATTTTGTTTCTGACAGTGGGCCCCTGTACGTAAATCATCACCGTCGATCATTATCACCCTATAAGCCTAATCCTTCAACCTGTAATTCTGACTATATGTTATAACACGACCGCTGTAATTGCTAACACTACGTCTAACTCTAACCCAGGGTTTTCATTATCTTTTATAGTAACAGGCCGAAATGCTTTTGCAACAGGCCGTGGCGGTGTGCAGGGGGGGGGGGGTTTAGGGTGGTGGCTCCCCAACTTTCTTTTAAAAACCTAGATGCTCTGAGATGCAATCTGGTCACTCTGGTGTATTCTGAGCTGCAGTAAACAGATACATTTGAATTACAGTATGGTCCTTTTTTCCAATTTGGTTTCTCCTGGTACATTCAGAGTTCACCAAAAGTTTCCAAATTATGACGATTTAGTAATTATAAGAGTTAGACAAGTACGTAAATAGCATTACTCGAAAACAAAACAATGCTTCTTGTGCACATAATATGCATACAAATATACTCAACTGATTTATTAGTAGTAGCTCATAAAACACTTTCACTTTGGAGAATAATTAGAGCAAACTAAATGCAAATAAATTATATTTTTTTAAATATCATACTTGAGCCAATTGTAACTTACCGAAACAGCAGAGTAGACGGTCAATTCGGCCGGTGGCCAGTTCCTAATGAGAACACTGCTAACCTTAACCTAGCTGCAATCACAATCTAATATTTTGGCCTTCTTATCATTATAAACCATGTGAGTAAGCAAGTAGATGCTTACATGTGTGTTTACTCATTTAATTGAAATTGTATTTGCCATATCTTATCGTGATGTTTTTTTATATATTGTCAGCAGTTAAACGGTTGGGGCATGAATTCATTTCATGTAGGGTTTATGTGTACCCTATAATTCAACCTGGTTTTACGCCCTATTGTTAGCCTGTATGAAATATGCGATTTATTTGTGGAACAAAGGCTTTTTGTGTACTATTCAGGACAAAAAATCCACTGCCAACTATGTCGGGTAAGTAAATTTTCTGCCAACGATGACTTAATGTTAAACATAAACATAAGTTAATGCAAAACGTTAAAAAACAACGGCGTCAGCTCCCTGAACTGTAGCAGCTGTTCACACAGTAGCATCGCGGTAGACCGAGAGCAGTCGAAATATCAAGGTATACTAGTGTACAATTCACATAGGTGTACAAAGTGTAACTCCCTGCGATTCATATGTTTGCATAAAAATAACCTGGGTTATCTATATATATATATATACATATATGACATATATACACGCACGCACGCACGCATATACACACACCTTTACATTGTATAATTATATACAGGAATCCCCAGGCGGCCAGGCCTGCCTGTCGACATGCCTTCCAAGCTAAAGCAAATTTGCGAAATCTCGCAAATCATTTGACATGCCTTAATTTTCAGCTGTATTTGTTTTTGACAATCTCAACACAGTCCTGCTGTGTTTGCACATACGTGTCCGA